TAACTACAAACTTTCTTACAAAATTAAAAGTATACTAAATAAAGGATTTGGCTCTAACATGACCTACAGAGGTTGATATGTGGTTAAACAAGAAGAAAAAAACAAATCATTATCTAGGATAATGTATTTGGATATAAACATTGTGAATATAGTAATCCCCATTTGTTGACTGGCAGTTTCATGCCTTAAATGATTATAAAACTGCCAGTGTAAATTTCTATGTTCACCACACTGTGGTGTGTGTTTATATATGAAGAAAAATATACGGAAAAAACAAACAAAAATCCTAATATGCAATTATGCTGTTTTAATGTTAATATAATGTCATGTTGAATTGAAGTCTAGTAGGCCATCTTCATGACATATTCATAAAACATAATGTTAATATTTTCAAATCAACATGAAAAGGCGATCTACTAGACTGAAACGTCCGATGTTGACATTATATTAACATTAAAACAGCATAATTGCATACTAGGATTTTTGTTTGTTTTTTCAGATATTTTTTCTTCATACTGTCGGATCTATATCCATATATTTGCTTACACACACACACACATATATATATATATATATATATATATATATATATATATATATATATATATATATATACAGTGTATCACAAAAGTGAGTACACCCCTCACATTTCTTCAAATATTTAAGTATATCTCTTCATGGGACAACACTGACAAAATGACACTTTGACACAATAAAAAGTAGCCTATCTGCAGCATATATAACAGAGTTAATTTATTTTTCCCTCAAAATAACTCAAAATATAGCCATTAAAAAGCTAAATCCCTGGCAACAAAAAAGTGAGTACACCCCTTTTAGAAAAGTTGTCAATATTAACATACAACATGTCAACTGTCAATATTTTGTGTGGCCACCGTCATTATCTATAACTGCCTTTACTCTCCTGGGCATGGAGTTTACCAGAGCTTCACAGGTAATCACTGGAATGCTCTTCCACTCCTCAATGACGACGTCACAGAGCTCGTGGATATTTGAGACTCTGCGCACATCCACCTTCTGCTTGAGGATGGCCCAAAGATGTTCTATTGGGTTCAAGTCTGGAGACATGCTTGGCCAGTCCATCACCTTTACCCTCAGCCTCTTCAGTAAAGCAGTGGTTGGCTTGGATGTGTGTTTGGGGTCATTGTCATGCTGGAACACTGTTCTGTGACCCAGTTTCTGGAGGGAGGGGATCATGCTCTGTTGCAGTATTTCACAGTACATGTTGGAGTTCATGTTTCTCTCAATGAATTGTAACTCTCCAATACTTGCAGCCCTCATGCAGCCCCAGACCATGACATTCCCACCACCATGCTTGACTGTAGGCATGACACACTTATCTTTGTACTCTTCACCTGATCGCCGCCAAACATACTTAAGGCCATCAGAACCAAACAAATTAAATTTCGTCTCATCAGACCATAGGACATGGTTCCAGTAATCTATGGGCTTTGTTGACATGTCTTCAGCAAACTGTTTGCGGGCTTTCTTGTGTATTGCCTTCAGAAGAGGCTTCCTCCTGGAGTGACAGCCATGCACACCAATTTGATGTAGTGTGTGGCGTATGGTCTGAACACTAACAGGCTGAATCCCAATCTCTTTAATCTCTGCAGCAATGCTAACAGCACTCCTACGCCGATCTTTCAAAAAAAGCATTTGGATGTGACGCTCAGCACGTGCGCTTAGCTTCTTTGGACGACCTACCCGGGGCCTGTTCTGAGTGGACCCTGCTCTTTTAAAATGCTGGATGATCTTAGCCACTGTGCTGCAGCTCAGTTTCAGGGTGTTGGCAATCTTCTTGTAGCCTTGGCCATCTTTATGTAGTGCAACAATATGTTTTTTAAGATTCTCAGAGAGTTCTTTGCCATGTGGTGCCATGTTGGAACTTTCAGTGACAGGTAAGAGAGGGTGTTAGAGCTGCACTACAAATTTAAATACACCTGATCCCCATGAACACATGGGCATAGTTACACTAATGAGTCACATGACATTTTGGAGGGAAAATGAAAAGCAGTACTCAATTTAGACATTTAGGGGTGTAGTTTCTTAGGGGTGTACTCACTTTTTAGGGGTGTAATTTCTTAGGGGTGTACTCACTTTTGTTGCCAGGGATTTAGCTTTTAATGGCTATATTTTGAGGGGAAAAGAAATTAACTCTGTTATATATGCTGCAGACAGACTACTTTTCATTGTGCCCAAAGGTAATTTTTTCAGTGCTGTCCCATGAAGAGATATACTTAAATATTTGAAGAAATGTGAGGGGTGTACTCACTTTTGTGATACACTGTATATATATATATATAATGTGTGTGTGTGTATCCATCAGTCTCATCAGTATCATCAGTAAGCTTTTTGAGACCTTAATTAACAAGAAGGGTGTTGAGCACATAGATAGGAACAACCTCTTGTGTGACGAATAGTATGAGTTGCAATCAGCCTGATCCACTGATGATGTCCCAACTACCATTACACACAGAAATAGTGAGGCTCTTGATGATACACACCACAAGAACCATAGCACTAGATATCTCAAAGGCCTTCAACAAGGTGTAACACAAGCTCTCCAGCTATGGAATCACTTCCTGAAGGTATTTATTAACAGCCAGTCCTCCACAGCCCTAACAATCAATGCAGGCATCCCCCAGGGGTCACTTCTTGGGCCAACCCTCTTTCTGATTTACATAAATGATCTACCTAAGAATATACTTTGATCATTTATAAATGTCTATGCCGATGATAAGATGCTATATGGGCACACCACTAAAACTCTTGTCAATCAGAGATTGGCAGCTGACCTCTCTTCCGATCTAACACTAACTTCATAGTGGGGGAAAAACTGGCTGGTTACATTCAATGCCTCTAAAACCAAACTGGTTACATTCCATCACTGCCAATTAGACCCCAAATTACTGCCAGTCACAATGAACAGATGTTCCCTTGAGGAGGTACTGTGCCTTGAGAGGAGGTTGGGCCTTGATTGGAACTTTTATATACAATCCATCGCTAAAGATGCAGGTAAAATGATCAGCTCCCTGTACCACTCCTCATGATATCCTCTACCATTATAAGAGCCAGATCAGGCTGAAAATGGAGTATAGTTGCCAAATTTGGGCAGGAGCTTCCCAGACCTCACTTTCCAGTCTTGATAATAGAGTTCAAAAGCATCTCCGAGGCCTTACTGAAGAAAAATTATTTTCCGCCCTCCAACCTCTCTCTCACAGGAGGGATGTGGCGAGTCTCTTACTGCTCTATTGCTACTACCATGGGAAGTGCTTGGACAAACTGCATTTCTTGGTTCCACCAGGTCTGACCTTCATGGCTAGGACACACCATGCCACTTACATTTTAGCAAACCATGCACATTCTCTCTGTATTCCATTGGCAAGAAGTTCTACTCAAACAGCTTCTTCCTGTGAACCACTGCCCTATGGAACAGACTCCCAAGGGGATGTTTCCCTGACATTACAATCTTCATCTGTTCTAGTTTAGAGTCAACCATTATTTTCCCCTCCTGTCCATATAAACTACCCCTTAATGTAACCCTCTACCTTGAATGGCAGCTGGGCCCTGTACATGGTGAATCTTACTGTATATATATATATATATATATATGTATTCATTAAAGACAACTGACAAGGTACTGGGATTAAGCTTTTTATTTAATTTTTTGAAAAAGAAAATTCAGAATTTTTTATTATTAAGGCTCCTATTATTTTTAATTTTTTTTACATGTGGATGAGGTTATTATGTTTGTATTTTCTATCCACATGTAAAAAAAGATTAAAAATAATGGAATCCCTAATAATAAAAAAGGAAAAGCCAACACTCAATAACATTAACTATGAACATGGCCACAGTGTGCTGACCATGTTCAGAAAATAATACATTCCTATAACTTTAGACACATACATAAAAAACCCACGTATTTAGTTAAAAATAAAAAAATAAAAATTTCCCTTGATAATGGCTAAAAGAATAGCTGAAAGCACACTGATATGCAGAACTTTGGGTCAGTTTTTACACACTTTGTGTCCAGAAAAGAAAACACTTGTCTGAACACAAAAAATATTGAATAAAAAGCTTAATCACAGTACCTTGTCAGATGTCTTTAATGAAAAATGTATAAAAGAGGGATTGCTGTGTAAATACACTATATATATATATATATATATATATATATATATATATATAAAAATAATTTTTTTTTTAAATCCTAAACAAAGAAATTTCATTCTTCAAACAAAATTGCATAAAAGAATTGCTTCTCAAATCCAACCAATAAAAAAAATATACACATATATGTATGGTGCATGTGATTTTGGTGACAATAATAAAATAGTATGGAAGGGATTTTAAATAATTAGGAGCTAATTTTTAAATTCTCGGGAACAAGAAGCAGCCTTACAGAATGTATCCAATAACTCATTCTAAGTTAAAATTTATTCATAATATAAACAGACCTAAGCATTTTGTAACAAATCTCCTGGAAGTCACAGGGTTCTCTGATTATCAGGAATTTCAATGAAAAAATAAAAATTAACAATACTTTTAAATTTCTTCAGTTATATAACCTGTGCCTTATTATTTTCTTCAATTTCAGTTATTAATGAATTTTGTTAATTATTGAAATGATCCAATACAAAACTATTTATAGATATATAAACATTTCACACTATATAAACTTTTGCATGGTATTTCACTTAGGAAAATAAATCCAATTGAAACTTTAAAGATTTGACAGCAGAATGAGCATTCTGTTATAAAGTGTTTGCAACTAACAGTCCACTGCAAGAACAAATTCCTTGATTATTATGAGAAAACTTCTTTTAAAAATAAACACTAGGGTTTTATACAAAATATTTGATAAATACCTGTTAACACTGTATGTGTGTGTATATATGTTTGTATGTATATTTTGATGTTCCTTACATGTCTGTGTGCTAATGAGTTACATAAGTTTATCTTTATCATATCACTGACAGGCAAACACCAGGGGTGTACAGTTTACCAGCATCAACAGACGCCAGACTCGAATTGGTGAGTCACGTGTCGAGTCTCCTGCTGCCTGCTTCATAATTTCTCTACTGCTTGCGTTTATAGATATAAGGGTCTCTTTTTCATGTATTTTTTGAATTTATAGGTTTATGGTCTTTTTTTTTCCCCTCCTACCCCAATTTTATAGATATATAGTCATTTGTAGATATAGGGGTTTCCTTTTATTTATTTTTTTAATTTTATTTTTTCCATTTAGAGATATATAGCTAACTTTTGACATCTTTTTTTTTAAACACACATACATTTAATTGAGTGTGACAGATATGGAAAATTTTATGTTTTTATTCAGTTTTTCCCCATGTTCTTACAGTTTTTCTTTTACAGGGACTAAGAACATGTAGAAATTGTCCATAGTAATTATTATCCCAACTGCTTTCAGGCTTATTGTTAGTATATTTTTCTAAATTTATGTTCTCATAAAAATATACTAACACCGATCCTCTTGAAAATGGTGAATGAATTGGCTGAAAGCACTTAGGAATATAATTACTATGGACAGTTCCTACACTCTTAAAAAAGAAAAACTGTTAAGAAAGAACACAAGAAAAACTGAATAAAAACATAACATTTTCCTTGTCCATCACATTCAATGAAACATATAAAAGAATGATTACTACCTAGATATATGATATAGATATATGGGACTCTTTTATTTTGTTTTTTTATTGGCTTTAAAATTTTCCTGATGTTGTCTTTCCTGCTTTTTCTATACTTCTCAGGTTTTACTTCTGTCTTTTTTTCTTTTCTTTTTTTCTTAAAACTTTAGAAAAGTAAAATTATTTATCTACCTTTTAGTTTATTTCAGAGTGTTTTACCTTCCTACTTTTTTGGCATTTTCTTTGTTGATGTTGTTATTGCTGTTGCTTTTTATTTTGTTTTCTTAAAAATTAAGTACATTGATTACCTTTTCATAAATATTGTATCTCCTGCTTTGGTGTTAATCCCTGATAGAACTAAAACACTTTGGTATTAGTGTTTGGAACCTTTTCTATACTGTTTTGTATTGTTCAGCTTTCAGTCAGTGTTCATGTTATTAAAATATTAATACAACTATTAATAATTATATTGATTTTGTTTGTATTTTTTTTATTGCTTTGTACTATTTGGCGGTGCTGAAATTTTCTTGGCCCAACCAATTTTTCAAAATCTGTCCAATTGTTAGATTTTTTTTTTTTTTTGTAAGACTCCTTGGTCAGGCTGACAATTTTTCAGCACCCACTCATAATAGTTGTTACTGCTTCCGTATATTTTTTTTTTCCTTTTTTTTGCAAGAAAAAGAACACTTCCTCTGCTGTTCAATAATTATAATGTTAATTATCCTTTTGAAAAAGAAAATTCAGAATTTAAACCAAGTTTGCTTTCCATTTTAAATTCAAATAATTATTGTTCTAAAATATGACTCACATATTTAATCATTTATCATCATCAGTTTTATTTTTTAACTTAGGATTAATCCTTAATTTAAAATTTTTTTACTTTTTCTGCAATAAAAGTAGTTTATTGAATATATTAGAAATGTTATTAGGTTGCATTTTAATAAAAATATACATGAAAAGTTAAAAAATGAGAAAGTTTCTTGAATGGTCTTACTGGTATCAGTTTTCCAGTTTTGTAGTATGACTATTTTTTCATGTTTATTTTTGTATGCATTTATATAACAATGGTTAATCACTTTTCATTTTGATAATGTATAATGATGCACTGCTTTATTTTAAATCAATTAATGAATTCTTAAAGTAACTTTTTAATTATTACTAATTTGTGATATATTTATGATATTTCATATTTTAAAAATTGGTAATTTCAGATTACCAATCAAAAATAATAAATACTTAAAAAATGACTGTATATTCCAAACATCATCTTCACAAAATAAATCTTTATCCAAAAAAAAAAAAATAACAACTCGGTAAAGCATAGATTTTATGCATAATTGTATATCATTCTTTTATATAATAATGATTGATGAAGAAATATGCATCTTTGTACTTTTTGCAGCTTAATAAATGGACTATATATATCAAAAAATTTAACTGTATTCTCATATTTATGATTAAAAATGGCTTCAAGCAAATGCAACCTGTAGATCTAAAAAATTTAACTGTATTCTCATATTTATGATTAAAAATGGCTTCAAGCAAATGTAACCTGTAGATCTTAATGAGGACCATCCTTTGAGCCCCATACACTAGCACTACAGAATCATAAAGAACTGTACCAAATAACAGAAACCATATCACTTGAGGTGTTACAGCAACAATTAAAATGGATATCACATGTAACTCCAAGAGAAAATAACAACATAATCAAGATGATGACATCCCACACAACTTCAAACAAAAATTTAGGAAGGGATCCCTCATCAATACTGGAAAGAGTGATAACAGTAGACTTGAGAAACCTATTTTCCTGAAAAGTTGTCTTAATAGAAAGATTTTATAAATTTTAATCATAACTAGTACTGGCTTCTTGATCAATAAATGCTGAATGTTTCCTTATAAAATAATGGCTAATATTACCATTACCAATGTCCTCGTCTTTGTTGTTATGATCACGTTTTGGCCACTATGCCTTACAGCCTTCTTCAGCTGTCTGTTGATATGAATAACCTTCAGGGAATTTCAAACTGAACTTTTTATTTAATCTACAGTGCGTGGGAGGAAAAGATTGTTCTTATTATGCTGTCCATGTGTTGGCTATTGTCCCTCAGGACAATAGGTTAAAGCATGGGTTTATGAATTTGGTGGCACACAATTACTAATATGAGTTCAATCTCTAGGCTTATTAGTACAGACTTAGAAACAGAGCAAGCAATAACTGAACAGTATTAAAAAGAACAAGACATCTCTAGACATGGACAGCAGAGCAAAAACAATTTACCCCATGGAACTGTTCCAGCATACCTCAGTAAAACCCCTTATTGTCAAGGTATGTCCTAGAAGATGGAACTTCATTGGGGATACTTTAAGGCAAAACCAAAGCAACAACTACAATATAATGTTGCACTGAGCTGGATCCCCAAAATGAAAGAAGACCAAGAACAACATGATAAAAAACTGAATAAGGAAAGAAAAGGAATAGGCTGATGATCCTGGGATAAGGCTCAAATAATGGCTGTGGACAATGCAGAATGGAAACATTCTGTGGCGGACATGTCATGAGGCATCAGGCAGATAGAGACTAATGTCTCCTGTCAAGGTTGATTATAAGCATTAACAATTTTTTTGCTGCTATTTATTGCCTGAGCAAGTAAGATAATTAGAGAGGAGGAATTTGCCTAATTACTCACTCATATCTCCATCATGATATACCAATGATGAGATATTTTGCTAAGATATTTGGTGATAGGAGAGAACAGAGAGAAAAGTAAATTCTTATCATTCTCTACATCATTAGTACAAAATGAATATTAGCAGCCTTGGTTGAAATTTGAACTTTGTCATTACATTGTCTGTTGAAAATATAAGAAATCTCATAATTACAAAGAAAAAAAAATTATATTGATCATCAATAATTAAGTTTAAAATTGGCTAAAAGTTTTTTGTCTACAATCCTTTTATGATAGCATCTATCTTCCACATGTACTATTATTGATACACTTTTGCCATTGGCTATATTTTATCTGTCTTTGACAAACAGGATGTGACTTTGTAAAACTACTAGACAGATGTATGAGTACTTTGTTCTTCTCTGAATAGGTTTTACTATTACAGCCTATTATAATAAAATGAATTTTGCAAAATAGTCAGTTAATGTTGGGTTTTTATGTCATATCCCTTCAGGACATATGTAATGAAAGCTTTTAATTTTTTCTTTTTTTCTTTTGTATGTGTGAAATGCTATGAATTCTTGGGAAAATTAATAGTGGTCTCCTGTTGCTTTCTCTATGATTTTGAATTCAGAAGAACCCTTCTCCTAAACTGGCTACCAACCATGGCTAAAAAGTTCAGTCTGCTCTGTTTATTTAACTCAGAGGTGAAAGGAGAAGAGATGGATTTATTCCTTTTCATGAGGGTGTTAATGCAAATTTAATGCAACACACCAGGATGGGATTTGAACTTGCTGATTCCACTTCCCATGCCGATAACACTACCTGTACATCCCCAGTTAAAGGTAGCAATAGTATTAAAATAAGTTTTGACAACTCCAACCCTAACCAAATACTTTATTTCTGTAGACCAGTGATCTTTTTTATTTTTTAATCATTTGACTCCAAACAAGGCAATAATGCTACTAAGATACAAGGGGTTATTGGGAGGGGAAAAAGAATGAGAAGACTTTAGTGAGGAGAAAACACAATAAAAGAACAGGATTCAGGGAAACAGAAGATGGCAGTTGGTGTTGCATTTAAATTTTTGAAGATTGTGACAGGGAAGCAAGAAATTGGGCGGGAGTTCCACAGGCCAGAAGTACAAGTAAAGAAACTATTAGAATAGAACATATGGTTACATCTCAGTAATTCAACAGTAAAACAGTGAAACCTAGTTGCCAATCTAGTAGCATGCTTGAACTAATGCAGTTGAGGCACCAAGGAGGAAAGCTCAGCAAGAAAATTAACATGAAAATATTTGTAGAAAAGACAGAGGGAAGCCACATCATATTGGTGAGAAAGTGACTGAAGTCAAGATGCCAGTTCAAAATCGATTACATTACAGACCCTTTGAATTTTCTCAAAAATCACAAGAGATATAGTAGAACACCAGACCAGATATGGCAGCAGTATTCAATGCAAGGACAAATGGTAGATTTATAAATGTGCATGATGGTTTCTGATGAAAAAAATTGTCTGGCTGGACACAGTGAGTCAATTTTCCTAGCAGTAAACCTAGCAATTGATTCAATATAATCACTCCACTTTATGTCAATGGAAAACGTGAGCCCAACAATGCTTTTCTGGATGTTAGCATCAGTCATGCTGATAGCAGACAGAAAAGGTTCTCTATGGTCATTAAACGAAAGCAGTTCCAAGAGCATTTGCCAGT